GATCATGCGTTTTTGCACTAAACTCGCAGGTCGCTAATAGCAGGAATGATCCCTGCGCTGTAGCCTGACACGTGGGCTCATATTAGCCGAGTTTTGACCCCTTCCGGGCATGCAGGAGAAAGGGCGTCATAAGATGAAAATGATACATTATAAAGCCGCATGGACCTCCAGATACACGACTGCCAGTTTTTTGCATGAAGCCCGGTCGTTTCGGTAAATGCCTGCTTTTTGAAAAAATGCCAATTTCCAGTTCACTAAAAAGCGACAATGTTGCTCAAGCAGTCGTCTGTCAAAAAATCCATGCATGCAAATGAACTGAGTGTTCATTCACATGTTTAGAAGAGGGCGGTCATTCATTGCAAAACGCGCTCGTTTCTAATTTTTCGTGTACAGTTGATTATTTCTCGTACCCATCTGCGGGGGATTTCACTTCCAAGCAGAATTAAAACCACACTTGGAAATAGAATATCCCAGAGAATTTTCAGCTCGTAGCTTATCCAGTAAACGAAATATCCACTTCGCTACAAATATCTTTGAACCCTAAATCGTGGCACAAGTGCAAATCGGTACTTATTTTAGGTATACGGTTTCCCACATGGCCGTTAAACATTCTGACAAAATCCCAGCCATTTTTTTCCGGCAAATTTCCCAGTTAACACAGTACCAAGTTGCAAGCTTTGACGTGATCGTACGCGCTTCAAAAGCGTGCGCGACAGCTGAATTTGAAATCTTTTGCTCGCACATGCACAGAGAATATCTCTGCAAAGTTTCAGCGTTGTACTTTGCCTGTTTCGCGAAATCGTTTCCCACCAAAGGAATTTGCAGATTTTTATGCTTTTTATGTTTTTGCCTATATGCAAATTGCAAAAACGAATATTGAGATGACCCCGTCTATGTATATGTATGTATGTGCGTGTGTGTTCGTCTGTCCGGGTATTTCAACTCGGCAACCAAGCAAGCTCCAGCGCCGAGATTTTGTTAATGGGTATCCCGGCCAAGTACCATCCCAGAACCGCGGTACCCTCACGTACGTCTGGGCCCCGCGCACGAGAGGAGGAAAGTTTTGGCGAGAAAACTGATAACTCGGGAACGAGAAAAGATAGGAAGCTTAAATTTTGAAGTTATTTTCCCCGTCTAAATATAACTCAAAGATTTCAAATTCAGCTCCCAGGTGCGTGTGGTTCCCGCGCACGGCCCCGTG